GGAATATCGTCATCTCCAAAGTTAGCCTTCAGATTGTATTTGTCTCTGCCACTGAAGTATTTGCACGTACGGCCATTACTTTCACAGCACTTCTAATTACTGTTATTTCTATGTGGCACCAGATCAGGCTGACGTTGTTTTTAGCATTTTTGAACCTAACTTCAACATATTACGGAGCCTGATGCTTTCTAAGACCAGATGTCCCGAGAAAATGGAATAGTTGTAAAAGATGCTAAAATCACATTTTTCCGGACTTTCAAAACTTGGGCTCGTCTCCAGACCAAACAATTCGACATATGATTCTCAGATATTGCATATTGTCTTGCTTCTAGGTGGCGTCCAGGAAACTAAACTGAGTCTTATAAGGTCATGAAAATGGACGATTTTTCTTCAAAATGCCGAAAATTGGATCTAATGTCGCTAATTTAAGGACCCGACTACAAAATTAAATAACATAGGGCGACAGGTTGATCATTATTTCTATGGAAAACATACTTTTGATTCATATATCAGCAGAATGACTTATCAGATCACGATGTGGTAATTGAGTTCCTTGGAAAATTTTACCTTGAGGTCATCAAATACTACGGGACCTAATCCTTTCCAGGGTAGGAGTAGCGAGAAACTGGAAAAGTTGCCAAAAAGCTGAAATTGAAATTTTTAGGACCCTGAAATTTCACAAAATTCTATGCCTTCATGGGTACTAACCAGACAAAAATCTCAGATATGACCCGCCAAGCCGGTTTATATAATGTATAGTAATTAGGGTGTCGCAGCCTATGAGGGCAAACAAATTTTTGTTCCAATTGAGATACGCATACCTTCTATTTGTTCTATTTGACTCTAGCAACTCAAAATACAAGGATTATTGCGATCGGGGAACGATAACCCATGCCGACTTTCGGTCAAACTTTAAATTTGAACGTTAATAGGGAAAACATGTATGGGTTTCGAACCCTAATTCTTATTTGACAAATAAAATACTGATTTATACCTAATATCTCTTATACAGTGCTTTTCTTTGATTTTTTGAACAGATCAATTCAAAAAATTAAAACTTGATACGTGGATACCATATTTTAGAGTACAATTGACAGATGAAAATGTCAAGATGGCCGCTGGGCGCCATCTTGGAAAAACAATTATATGAGAACGGGGATTTTGTGGCACATCATTTTGAAGCTCCTGACGAGTAGAATATAAAGTCAATACCTTTACCTTCTACAAAATGGTACATTTAATAATTACCAGAATACATTGACATTTAACTTGATAATTCGAATAAATACGTTGAGTTCAGCTTAGAAGATGCTGGGAGTGGTTGCCGTCTACTTCTTGACACAATAACAGCCGGTCCGTAATTTCGCGTCGATTATTTTCAAACGTAGTAACATCGATATTTCTAAAAATATTTGTTATTCTCAGCCGTATATCCAATATTGAAGCAGGTTCAGTTTCGTATACCTTTTGCTTCAAAATGGCCCATAAAAAAAAGTCTAAAGGTGTCAAATCTAGCGAGCGAGCTGGTCATTCCACAGGACCTCGACGGCCAATCCAACGACCGGGGGAGTTGTTATTTAAATAATTCCTAACTTGTCTGTAGTAGTGTGGTGGAGCACCATCTTGCTGGAATACAATATCAGTATCGAATTCGCTTCGACGATTTCGGTGATTAGAGGATCAATAGTATTTTCCAGCATATCCAAATACAGTTCCCCGGTAAAAGTTTGTTCGATGAATTGAGGCCCCACAATATGATTTCCCAATATCTCAACCCAAACGTTAATTTTTTGTGGATATTGCGAGTTTCCCGGAAGACGTGAGGATTGGTGTCACTCCAATAACGACAATTTTGTCTATGCACATTACCGTTGAGACAACATGTTCATTCGTCACTAAACCAAATATTTTGGATATAGGTAGGATGCCGTGCAATGGTTTCCGTCATAGTCTCGCAGAATTCTGTTATTCGATCTGGGTCATCTTCAGTTAGCTGATGTACCATTTGAATTTTGTATGGGTGATACTTATTCTTTTTCAAAAGTCTCCACACAGTAGAAGGACAAACCTCACATACATTCGCGATGGAGAGAGTACGACTGTTGGGAATTTACTATGATCTCACAAATTATTTGATTTTGCTTTTCTTCGGGGATGGTCGGATGACCTTGGAGCTTTTTGTTGTTTACACTACCAGTAGCTGTAAGTTTAGATACTAGTTCCCTTAAATATTTTCTACAGATAGGACGATTTGAGAAACAATCATTAAAAATCCTTCCGGTCTCGTGAAAGTTACGCGTCGCACCATGAATAAAAATCGCTTCGATTTTTTCTTCCGATGGACGAGAATTGACCATTTTAAAATTAGTTCAAACAGTAGGTACTTATCTAGCACTAAAACAGAAAACTAAATAAGAATATTTTAACTGTGCAATGATGTTTGTTTTAATACTGATATTCTTGTCACTGTCAACAAAAAATAACAAGTTCTTTTCGCTGTTGCTGTGGATACGGCAGGGAATTACAATTATTTGTAGAGATATGCATGTTAGTGGGTTTGTGTTCAAGTAATTATTAAATATACCACCATTTTGTAGTAGGTAAAGGTATTGAGTTTTTGTTCTTGAGTTATGAAGTACTCGCCAGGAGTTTCAAAATGTTGTGGCACAAGACCCCCGTTTTCATATAATTTTTTTCCAGCTGCGATCTTTACATTTTCATTTGTCAATTTTACTCTAAAATATGGTATCCACGCATCAATTTCATTGCCTCAAGTTTTAATTTTTTGAATTGATCTGTTCAAAAAATCAAAGGGATGGGGGAAATTAAAGAAAAGCACTGTATATTTATCAGTAAAGAATATTATTTACTAAATTCTCTTTTCGAAGCTTTCTTTTAACACTCAGTGAACGAGTAATAAAAATTGTTTTTGTTCCTCATTACCAGTGATTAAGCCATGGAAGTCTTACATTAACTTGGCTGCTCTTTTTGCCATATCATCAACTGCAACTGCAGTGTTTGCACCTTATTCTTAGCGTGTTGAAAGGAATCGTGTAGCCATGAAGTTGAAAACTCGTCATCAATTTTGACTCAACTGAACACGGACTTGCTTGTGATTGAAACAAAATCATGGATATTTTTTTCTGAGATGGATAAAAAGTAGAATAGGAATCTAAATGCTGGTTTTGTCCACCCGACCAAAGACAGTCAACCATCGACAGCTGTTTTGTGCTTTTTGGCAACTCATCAGCATCATCTAGGCCTTTCCGCAGGTCAGAACAACGAACGAAAGCATGTGAACTAACTCTAGCTGAGGTATAAAATTTATCGAAACAAGACATTCTAAGGTGCCATCAATTGCCAGAATCGCAGGTTAAGCTGGCTTATTTTAATCATAATACCGTGGGCGGATGGACTTTCTTTGGCTAAATTAGCAACAATTTTTACAGTTTCCTCATCTAAGTCGTCAGACAGAGACAAGACAGAGAACTCGTCTGTCAGATACTATAAATGTTGGCAGTAATTTTGTGAATGGTTTTGTCAACTCTTTTGTAAGCATGCGTTGCCTTTAGAAACATAAATCCTGATTAGGTGCTTTTACCGCTAGAGTGCATTGTAACCACGGTTTCACGTATATTGTCACAATGAACAGACAGATATCTGAGAGAGCTGCCGTATCCTTATTAGAAAGTTTGAGCTGGGGACTTAGTAATGCTATTTTTAATGGATACATTGCTCTGGCCATCCATCGAGCTTGATGCATAGCGGCTGGCGGTCGAATCTGAAATTTTTTCTCTGTATCTCCACCAAGGAATATTATTGAATGTAGGATTAATTCTCGATTCTTTTGACTAGGTACTTGACTTGACACTAGCAGCTTCTTTGGTTAATTCATGTCGATAAAATTATAGCAGCTTGTTAGTCTCTGAAATATTCAGGCGTGACAGCTTTTCAGTATAAATCTGTTTTTTCTCAGGATCCACACTTTTCCAGCTCTCACGAAACTTTTTAAACATTGTAATGTCCGGGCTTGTAGTCACTTGGACGATCTTTGACTCAAGCACGCCTTTTAATACAAATTCGTAGACGAGATAGCGGCAAGCAAAAATAAGTTTCTGTAAGAGAAGCACGCAGGCACCGTTAATCCGTATTTGAAGCAGTAGTACCTATCACAACAGAGAATCAGAATCTGAACTCTATCTTCAAGATTCCAGTCAATAATAGCATCCCTAACTTTCTGAGCCTGCTCTCTGCCTGAATAGTTATTCAATTTGGGCACAGCGATAAGTTGCTCTTTATTTTCGTTATTTTCATACATTATAACAACCGATAGAAATTCTGCTTTAGACTTGCGTGCATTTTAATGTGGTAACAATTTGTCATCCCAGCGGACAGTTAAGGTCGATTTATACATATCCGTGCCGTATCCGTTCCGTGTTATGACAGTGCCTGGCGAAAAAAAAACAATATGTACTCTAATGAGTATACATATTTATACATTGGCGTTTTCCGGACGGGGCCCGTCCATGCCCGGCCTGAGGTTAACTCCAAACGATATTTTTGATTTCGGCACTGGCGACGCCCGGAACTGACACGGACCGCACGGACTTGTATAAACACGATTTTATTGTTTTGTGAACGTGGGTGCTGGTAAACAGACAAGCAGGATATGTTGTGCGGTTAGCGGTTGGTATGTTATGGTTTTTATATGTATTATTTATGTATTTACATATTTTATTTCTTATTTCTAATTACATATTTTTATTGATTTTAGTGTAATATTCCTTACTGATGCCATTTACGTATTACTATTATTATGGACGATGAAAAACTTATCGAATTGGTCCGGAAATACCCGGTCATTTATGACACCTCAAAATATCTAGACACCAAATAAAAATTGGAAATCAGGAAGAAAATAGGAGAAGAAATACAACAAACAAGTATGTAAACGCATATTTATTTTCTTATTTGTAGTCAGTGGGTTTACATGAGATCTTTTAGTTTATTAACTGGCTTTGTGGCAACAAAAAATAATTCTTAAATACATTTCTAACTTGAAAAGCCTCTTCAGTTGCATTACCACCTTGCAATGGAATATATTGTAATTCGGAATTTACTATGGAAGATGGTGGATCGGTAGCGGTGAAAGAGAATCCGTCATATATTTTTATAAAATTATGCAGTACGAATGTTGCTAAGATAATATAATCCGCGTTTTCAGGATTTGCTTGCATCCTTCTGTTATAAATGCGAAACTTCTGTGATAATATTCCAAAGGTATTTTCTACAATTCTACGGGCAAAATCTAAGCGATAATTGAACTGTTTGTTGGCAGGATCGTCGACTTGACTTCCAGGAAAGGGCCTCATTAAATACCGTTTAAGGGGAAACGCTTCATCCCCAAGAATAACACATGGAGCTAATTGAGTTGTTCCAGGGAGAAATTGGTCTGGCGGCAAATGCAAACTGCCATTTTCTAAGGCTTTGCCCATATTCGAGTGTTAAGTATTCCTCCATCACTACTTTTACCGTACGATCCAACATCTACCATAATAAATTTATAATTAGCGTCAACCAGAGCTAAAAGTACTATTGAGAAGGTTTTTTTTGTAATTGAAATAGAGCCACTGTTTGGCGGGGCTTGAATTGTAACGTGCTTTCCATCCAATGCATCGAGACAATTAGGAAATCTGCAACGATTCCAAAATTCTGTACAAATTTCTCTCCATTTTTGTGTTGTCCGTTAGTAACTCGTTCACCAAAATTTCACATGTTTCGTGTATGTACTGTTGCATGACCCAAGCGATAACTAAAGGAAATGCGTCTCAGAGAGTTTCCAGTCGCAAAATATCTGAAAAAAAGTAATGTGTTTATTTTTAGTTAAATGTAACTGATAATTTTTAAGGTCCATTTTCACAATATTTGGTGACCGAATAGTTCAAGTCAGTTGTCATCGTTTTCATCGTTCTGCAGGTTATTTTCCAATTGAAACCATGACAATTGACCTGAACTATTCGGTCACCACATATTGTGAAAATGGGCCTTAGAGTGTAATATAAAAATATTTATTTTCAGGTAGGGTTTGCAAAAATAGATGGCAGAATATACGCGACCAATTTAGAAAAAACTTGGCAAAGAAAGTGACTAAAAGTGGACAAGCAGCGAAAAAAAATAAAAATATAAATATGAAGATTGTCTAATGTCTAGTCTTCGAATTCTGATACTCCTGTGAACACAATACATGAAGAGACTGAAGATGAAGGAAGTCAATCTCAAGCAGTGCAACCAACTACGGAGATTTTAGAAACAAGCACGCCCACAGAAAACCAACCGCGTCCTGTAATAAAATCGCCGTCAGTTTCAACCGAAAGGAAACTTCCTGAGCAGGAATCAGCCTCAACTACTTTAATAAAATATATAATCGCTAGAGAAAATAGTCAAAAAACAGAAAATGTTCATCCAGTTGATGCATTTTTTTCTGGACTCGCTGCCACTATCAAGTCATTTTCCCTATATTACCAACATTTGGCAAAAGGTAGGCTATTTCACGTGGTGCAAGAATTGGAGGAGCAACAACTACTTCGACCGATTGTCCAAAATAATGTGTACAACGTAACACCTTTGTCATCTCCATCGCCCGCTGGAACTTCATTAAATTATACCCAAATATCATCTATGCCAACACCATCACCGGCTGGGACTTCGTCAGACTCTACTCATACGATTCATCAGTTGCAGACATTTGAAGCCAATAACGAAAGACCAAATGAATCAACATGTAACTCTACAGCAAGCGATTATTTTCACAATTTCCAATGAAATTAAATTGTAATAATAAGTAATAATAATTAAAAATAAAATGGTAATCATAATTTAAAAAGGGACTTTATTTCAGTACATAAATACTTACCTTAAACAAACAGCCAAACTTTCTCTGGGCGAGATCGGTATTTTCCAAAATGTAAGTTTCTTCTCACGCGGTTGTATGTAAATATAACATTAAAAATACCCGGACTCGGCATTGACACGGAACGGACACGGCACGGATATGTATAAATCGACCTTTACAGTATCTAGTACCTCGGTTTGGAAATCAAGCTTTATAGGTTCTGCGCGATCCTTTCGCTTTTCGGTACGAATTCTTTGAATGAAGGACTTGCTTATAGAAAACTCGTCAGTGTTATGTCCAAGTGCCTCAATGATTGCTTCAATAATAAAAACAGCATTTGTTATTCTTAACTGACACCTATCGAATGCTGCCACTAATTTTGAAGTTATGAAACTTTTCCTCATTTGAGTTTGATTAGTATCAGGCTATGTGCTCTGAGCTGGAATGGGCAAAGTTTCTTGTAAATCTATGAAGATGAATTTTCTGGTACTGGTTCGTAAGATGAAGTTGACAGAGTTAAGGAAGGAACACATTTAACTCGCCGCTTTTGTTCTTCAGTGTTCCTTATGACGTCACGTGTTTGGCCACCCTGTATATTATCAAAATATTCATTTTTAATATTTTAAACCTATAACACCCTGCTACATTTTTATTATTTGTGTAAGAAAAAAACTAAGATTTCAATAGTTGGGCCAACTGAAGTGGGAAGGGGCTCGTAGATAAATAATAATGTACATCACAACTTATCGCTACTGTAGCGATCAGTCTAGGCGCTTTTCAGAACATCTAACCTCTAGTCGGTGTTTTCATACATGTCACTGGGCCAACTTTCGGATCTAAAATTAAAAAATGGCGTCAAGTGTGTTGACGCTGCGCTTCCCTCGCAACGCCGTTATCATTTCCCTATTTTCAAACCGCTCAAAGCAAACACAAAACACTAAGCCCCACAAAACAATATTTGATGTATATATTCATGAGAGCGAGGCATATTTTAATTATGACGGAAAAAATGGTGTAGGCCCCGATGGCGCTCATGTGCGTTCAGCAGAAAATAAAATGTGGCTACAGTAGCGCTACGCTGTGAAGAACGGAACCATTTAAAATTGTATCCTACCAATTGACCGACTGACAACTCGGCATATTTTAGAATGATTGAGAAATAAGTAATTTTGAGTATAACTCCTCATTAGTCGTCTTTCTCGAAAAGAAAGCACTTATACCTTTCTCCTCTTGGGTGGGTCAGTCCCAGCTAATTTGGTAAATCTGTGAACTACAAATCATATCCAGACTCTCTCTAAAATTCTAGTATTGCACAGTAGACCTCTCCATTTTAAAATGCTACTAATGTATCAGTGTTCAGTAGCAGTCGATCTACAGCAGTCTTACATCTACTGCATGACAGGGACAGATGGTTAAGATCAGATACTTTGCTATCTACTTCACACAGGGGTGACTCTCCAAATCTGATTTTGTAAAAGTGTGATGTGAAATTTCCATGATGTAAGACTGAAAATGTGCGAAATACACGTAAGAAGAGTTTTATATAGCAGATAATACTTGCTAATACTTTGTTGACGGATTTTTATCCAAACAGCCTTGTACTCCGAAATTAAGCTTGTCTTGTAAATAATCACTTGCAAGCCAATATGCCTCTTACCCAAATAAAGAGAACTTGACTGCCTACTAAAAATAGCTTAGGAATGAAACCAAGAATTTTGCGAACGACGTGTTGTTTGTAGTAAGTTTTGTCACAACCTATTATAGTTACCAAAACGGACTTTGAATCTAGCAGCATTTGTTAAATTTTTGTTCAGACACCACCTCAAAGCTTCTTCAGTTGCTACTGCCCTCACGGTGTAAGTCTGCTGCATTCATTATTTGGGTTTATTAGTTTGATACCACGTATCTAGATATTTTAGAGTATTTATAAAATCAGTTGAAAACGTCATGATCGCGATCTGAAATTGAATATTTTGTGATACACAGTTTCAGTAGTGGAAAAAGTCTAATACGAGGAGGTGCCCAGAAATAACCGGAGTAGCATTGCAGTGGGCGGAGCTTGTATAGTACACATTTCTGCCCCTAGAGGCGTACAGCGCAACTCATTACCAGTTCAGTGCCACCTGAGTTGTCGATCTGGCTTGTTTCGTTCCTCTGTAGTCATTATTTTTGCTAGAGCTGTTTCGTGCTTGTTTCGTTTTTCACCATGGCAAGCTTGAGTGAGCAACGTGCAGGTGTGAAATTTTGCTTTCTAATGTGTAAAAATGCTGCTGAAACTGTTTTAATGTTGAAAATAGCTTACACAGATGATGCTATGGGAAAAACTCAGGTGTACGAATGGTTTGCTCGATTTAAAAATGGCGACATGTTGATTGATGACAAACCTCGCTCTGGACGTCCACCAACTGCCCAAATGGACGAAAATGTTGAAAAATCTGTGAGCTTGTGCTATTTGGAGGATTTAAGACGATTGCGAAAGAGTATTCGGTAAAAAAGATCCGATTTGTGGCAGTCAGGAGACTGGTTCTTCCACCACGATAATGCACCTGCTCATCTCTCTTCGACAGTTTCTGGCTGAAAATGGCATGGTTCCGCTGCCTCACGCACCTTATTCGTCTGACCTGGCTCCATGCGGCTTTTTCTTATTTCCACGGATGAAAAGCGGCATGAAAGGGCGCCGCTTTGACGATATTGAAGAAATCAAGAAAAAAAACTAGGGAGAAGCTGCCAGACATTTCTAAGGAAGACTTCAAAAAACGTTTAGAGCAGTGAAAGTACCGGTGGAACAAGTGAATTAGTTGTAGTGGACAGTATTTTGAAGGAGATAAGGTTACTTTGAGAAAAACTTGAAAATAATTTAGCTATTAAAAAATAATTCCGTGTTTTTCTTTTGGATACTGCCTCGTACGTGCTCGCGAATAATAAACAAAGTATTTAATGTAGCATGTCGTGTGGAGGTAAAAAAACGTTTGAACGGTAAATGATAATAAATTACCTTTATTCGATTCTTTTAGATAATATGTCCAACATTGATAAATGACTAAAATTTTGCGACTCGAATCAGTGAAGTGGTATCTTTCAACTCAACCATACATACTAATATGAACGGCTCAAATGCACTAGAAACATCGGTAATTATGATTTGTGGTTTGAGATTCAGCTATTAAGTATTTGATAATATGCTTAACATTGCATACATCTGACCCGTGCCCATATAGAATTAAAAATACCTTAAATTATTAGTACCCTCATGAGCAACTATTTTATAAATCCTTTATATAGCAATGCCCTGAGCTTTATTTTTTTACACCGAGGCAGCCGCGCAGGTAGACGCCTAAATGCCAGGACACCGCGGCTGCTATGAGAATCACAGAAATGTTGTTAATCCGGTTTTTGTAAATATCTAAGGTTAGTCGAACTGGAGACAGCATCCCTCCACAATCTCGATACTCTAGGCACCAAGGAGAGATCGTATCAGCCAGTTCTGGATGTGCGAAGTTCGGCACGGTTGGGATGAGACGCCGAACTCTGGCAGACTCATCGCGCGGCCTCATCATTGAGGAGCAGAGCCCTTTGGTGTAGGGGTAGAACAGAGCTAGATCGTCTGATAGAGAAAAGTCATCGGTCAGTCAGACAACCCTGTTCTGGACAGCATCGAGCATGACTAATGTAGTCGGGCCGCCAGCAGTGTATTGCGACCAAAAATTAACTCTATTTACAAAACAGCTTACCCTAATTCTAAGTTCAGGATCTACTTCTGTCATTAAACTCAACTTCGCTAGTTAGGTGTCATTGTTTGCATTCTCCAACACATTGTAGTTTCTGAAACGCGTACTGCCGAAATTCATTCTACTGCATGTAATCAAATATAAACTTTGTTTCAGTTGACGGTGTTTTCATACCAAGAGGTCCAACCCGAGGTATTCGACTGTTGGGCGACATTTGAACAGCCCTGGGGTGCCAAGGCATACGTGATCTGGTAAGTTGTTTAGGTGAATAAACGGCATTTTGGATTTTAATGTTCGGCTAATAAATATTAAGCAAATCATCAAATTTTGGAAAAACCATTCAAATAGTGTAGAATATCATGCACTATTTGAAATATTTGATGGAATTAAGGTAAAACTGTTAAATTTTAGGCGCAATATGTTTTAATTTAATTAACAAAAAATATACTCCCCTGGCGTCCTCCAATCTCGAACTTCAGTACAACAAACTTCTGCATATGAAACTGTTATTGTAATATTCGAAAACTTTCTGTATTATTAGATACACATTATGACATGTTTTCATTAGAAGAGACAATAAAAGACTGTATAAACGCGTAGAAGAAAATGTTCTTGAGGTTCCTAAAAATCGTGTCGGTTTGGAAGAAGCCAGCTGTAGCTACCTACCGAGGAAAGCCCATGAGCAAAAAGGAAGAAAGACATGTAGTCTTGTGGAAATTTAGATGAACGACAATAGAGTAACAGGAGCCTCCGTGGCGGCGTTGGTTGATACTCCGTAAGCACGAGGTCTCTTGAATGAAGCCTGCTGATTCCTGTTGGTGGCTTCTAGTTGTATTTCCCTTTCCATCCTTGTTTTCCTTCGAGCTTCACACGTATTCATATATGGCAGGAATATTTTTTCACTTCGGTATTTCCGATGTACATCCATTTGGGCCTAATAAAGCCAATAAGCGAATGTTGTTCGAGTTAACAATCATTCTATTTCTGCTTCTGTTGCTTTCTTGCCTTCATCCAAATTTCCGCAAGACCCCTTGTCTTTCTCTATATATGCCGATGATTTTGTTTTTATGTTTCTTATATGCGACCATATTATTTTGCACAGTTGAATAGAGTTTCTAATTCTGATTGCAGAAATGCCAAGCATTTCATGAACTACTCATTTCCGATCTTAATAATGTTATATTGTTCATATCATAACATGGATTATGATATTATAACTCATCGAATTAAGGACAATCAGATCTTCAAACTATATAATATTACCTAAGGTTAGTACTGAAAACATTGAAAACATTATTTTATGTAACTGATAGAAACATTTTAGGCCAAGTAAGAGCCTTGACCATGTTGCAGCTTCCTAAACACATTTCATATCTCTCATATCTTTACAGATGCATCTTGCATTCAAATACTATCAATCGACAGCTAAGGTATCATGTGGAGCGTATCCATCGTGCTAAAATAACGTCTGTTCTGTTCAAAACTTAGATTTGACAATGACATGTCACTTTTGGAATCAGGATTAAAAACACCATTCAACAGGGCAAAGATCCAGTATGGCGTCTAGGTATAAGAGAAAGTTAAATCCATGATTGAGGATAAGATTGAACTTCTAATTATACCATCGTGGAAAGAAAAATGGTGTTAATGTACTTTGTACTTTGAAATCCGATCGCAAATAAAACCAGGAAAAAACAAAAACGATTTTGGGAAATTTCGGTTTCTATACTTTATCTGCGGAAATACTCAGAATTGCGAAACTTTCTATATGTCATCTTCTGAGTTACCTAAATGCGCAACTTTTCCCTCATTTAACCGCCGTCGTACCTCTCACCGTTTACCTAGATCCCAATAGTGAGAGTCGAATCTGAGACACCCGGTATATGCGCTAAGCCTCAGTACCGTTAAGAACAAGCAAGAAAGGAATTAGAGGAGATAAATGCGTGTTTGTTTAATCATATAGGGCATTTATGGTTTAATGTAATCCTGGAATAGCTCCCGGCTTTGCTGTGTACATGTCCCCATTATTTGCTTTGCCCGTTAGCAAAGCATTCGGTAATAAATTCCTTGGAAAAAATACTGGATCGACCAATCGAAATAAATAAAAGGAAAGAGGAATGTGACTTCTAGGAAAGTCTAACGCGGCACTAAGATTTTGGACGTAATGAATTCATTTTTGTTAGAGAAACTACATGTTTCACGATCTGTGCATTTCATCATTAAGCTTCTTAAAGTTCTGCTACAATTGAACATAAATTCCTGGCTTCATGGCTCTCTGCAAAAAGTAATGCAATAATTAGAGAAAGGTCTCGTAAGAAAAGACGATAGCAAGTTGAATTTATAGAGTATAAAAATGCAGTTTTAGATTGGAATTATAAAACAGGGGAATGGAAGTGTAAAATGTGAGCAATCACAAAAAGGCTTCTTCAACTTGTGCCATTCATTCATGCGTAACCGAGATCGAACCAATTTGCATGTGTTTTTTATAGACTGTCCAATACTTCAACAACATGAAAATAAAACTCTATAGTACGTCATATCAGATTGCTTTGCTTAAAAAGATTATGAAACAGTCTACAAGAGGAAGCTTTCCCAGTTATACTAACCTTAAGCAGTTCAAAAATCGGATTAACGAAATTTCTTTAGCATCCTCATAGCGCTGTGGTGTCCTGGTATTTAGGCTTCTTCCTGGGCGGCTGCTTCGGTATAGAAAAAAAAAACTAAAAATGTAGGGCTTTAAATTTAATATATATATATATATATATATATATGTTTTGGTCACTACGTATCTATTAAACATCCAGGAGAAATGAAAATAGTCAGAAACTTTTAAAGAATATGGAACTCTAACACCTCCATCAATTTACATATTAGAATGTGTAACAGAGCTACTTTTATCGTGTACAAGACTTTTAATTTTTCAATATTTGAATTGCCATTATGCTGTGTAGATCTTACCCTTTTTAATGTAATTTTTAACATGTCTTATGTATTATTTGTTTTTTTCCTTTTTCGACTTGTCACTTATATTAATTTATGAAATGTGGTCAATACATATCTATCTATCATACTGTCTGCTACAATTTCTGCATCTAAGTTTTCAGATATCATTCGTAATAACGGAATTATCGACCGACCCGACACTAAAAACTCACCCTGTATATCAATGCGTGGGAAGTCTCGAGTAATGCACATACTTGCTCTCTTTGTGAGTGAACCTTTGGGGGTGCATCAAAGTTCTTTGATGCTTCTACGAGTTGACAAAGTGCAAGAAAATATGTTGCGGCGAACCTTCTCCATTGAAAGCTTTTGTGCGTCACAACATTCTTATCTTGCCCCTTAGGTCATGTGCTGGACAGGAATGATATGTCTTTGTCAGTAAAGTGAAGCTTTGAGTGTTCTGTCTCATTCTTAACACGTTCCCTACGGGATCATTTTGTCGTGACATTTACTAAATGACTTTACCAGTCACGTGTATCTGATACCGACCATACCCGTTCGTGGGGTACCAGTCACATGTATCTGGTAGGTATCCTCCAATAAAATGGACTATAATTCGTTATGACGCCTTTAAAAACTAATTATAGGAAACTTTGTTAAACGGACTCTTAACAACAATACGCTGTAGTCGCACATAAACTGGAACAAAGTAAATGAAATACCAGATGCAATAGTAGCGATTTAGTTATATCTAAAAGAGAACCGTATTATTAGTATATTTAATTGCATTATTACCCCATCTTTGCAGTCTACTACACACGTGATGACGTGTGTAGCACCAGTTTCGACGCCACTTTTTCGCTACGGCGTTTCTCTGCTAGAAAAGTATGTACTATTTTCAGAGTAAGAGCATCTATTGCCTTTTAGTTATCTCCTGTCAACGCGTACTCGAATTGTTCTTTGAATGGGAGCACTCCCAGGGTACTACGTTTTAAACATAATTGCAGGAGCTGCACCAAATATAACCTCAGAAGAGGTTATTCTACACCATTTCAATTTTCTTCTTAATGCTGTATAATAGGAAGACATTTAGTAGCTAATATCCACTCCCTTTTTGGCTCTAGCAAAAATTCGGTAACGCACAGGAGTGAACGAATGTTCAGTAGGTAACCAGTCGCAGATATCCGGTATATATTTAACCAAGTTAAAAAGTCAGACATATGACGTTTGAATACGACTTGTAGCTTACGAGGTATTGCTTTCGCCGCTGAGTGAAAGATGGCACAAATAGCCTTCGTCGGAGAAAAATACGCTATACAAGTCTCATGTATCTGATAACGTAGTAAACTTGTTAAAAAATTGTTTTGATACAACCCAATTGAACCGTACTGAGCGACATTAATGTGTTTGAAACGGATTTTCCTCATGAATCGAATCGTCTTTTCTTAAAATTTAATTTTTTGTATTCGGACATTGATGAACATATTCCACCACAAAATACCCCATTTCTTCAAAACACATGCCTTAAAACATTATACATTCGACCACCATCTTTGAGTGTCAGCGTTGTCACTTCCTCTTGTTTCAGGTTATTGGATTTGTGACGTTAAGAATTTCCGAAAATTCGAAATCTTTGCGATAATTACGAGGCAGGTTGAGAGTTATCACCTTCCAGAAAATCTTTGCAGGTGAGTGGCTGGCTTCTTCTCTGGCCGCAAGGTATTCGTCGTTATTGACGGATTCTCCTCTTCATACTACAATGTCAACGTAGGTGTTCCATATCATCGACCCGCTTTCCTGCACGACCGATCCAATTCCCAGCTTTATTGAAAGCAGCCCTCTGCATGAAGTAATTCAGAGTGCTAAGTACTGTCGGTGAGCTGAAGAGAAAAAGACACTCGCGGTCGATGTATGACCGAGTTCTTCCAAGTAATGCTACCTCTGAAGCAGATATTACATCACAAACATTGATAACTGAAGCCTTATGACTTTTAGGCAACACGTACAACTATAAAACGAGTTCACAACGTGTCCATCAGCTAGTGCTAAGCTAACATCTTGTAGAGAAACCTATATAATGTCACAAGAGACCGACTACAAAACAATATAATAATGGCCATGATATTTCTCAATTATATTATTATAAACCACAATACATTGCATGGGGTAACGGTAGCATCCTACCGCATGGAAGTCACACCCACGTCCATAACCAGGGGAACGATAGCTTCCTACCGCATGGAAGTCACGTCTGATATGGAAATGTAATACCTCGCACGGGGGAACGGTAGCTTCCTACCGCATTGAAGTC